TCAAGGCAAAAAACTGGTAAAGCGAGAGTTTTCAGTTGCACTTCAAAGCATATTCTGCTGTGATTTCCATGCAATATGGTAATCCGTAGCATGTCTGTGTGTGGTGCTTCTGTTGCAAACCACTGACCTGGTCCCACAGATTGCTTCACTTTCTCATTCTAGGGCATAGCTGTCAACTTTTCCCTTTTCTTGTGAGGAATCCTATTTGGAATAAGGGAATGTCCCTAAAAAAAGGAAAAAGTTGACAGCTATGTTCTAGGGTTCACCTTCAACAACATGTAATTCTGGTGGGAACAGATGTGCTGCAGGACACCATATTTAGCATCCCGGGAGCGGCTAACATGGAAAACAGACCTGATACTCTGTGCACTGTCTGGTAGAATTATATTCCAGTTGCATTGTCTCCATTTCCCATTTATTGCTGGATCCCCATTGGTTACTTGAATTCAGGGGGAAGATGGGTATTCAGGAGAAGGGAATGGACTGGTTGAGGCACCCAGAGTGGAGACATGAGTCATTTTAAATAGATCTCTTGATTTTAGATGTGACAGAAATCTAACATGTGGGAAAATGTCAGTGCCCCCGCTCACTGCAATGCAGTTTGCCCCTTTAATGTCCCTTTGTTATTTATTTATTTATTTTTACTGAGTCTAAAGCTCTTGCTATTGATCATTGGGTACATCCTATCATAAGATGGCTGACGCATAGCTCTTTGGATAACAATGGCAATTATCAAAGAGTCGCTTCGCAACTTGATTTTGTTAAAATTAGAATGCATATTAGGAAAAGAGTTTATTTTGTATCTTATTAATGGTACATGCCCTTATTTTGACACAGGAGTGCATTTTGCACCATGAAGTGAGCAATAATACATACAAGTCTCTCCTGATCTGCATTGCAAACTAGAATACATATTTTCCACTGTTCATTAGATGTTACAAGATGTACGATTTTCTTTTTGAACATGGAAAACTTGGCAAAACTATTAGGGTTTTTCCCCATTCTTTTTAGAAATGATGTCAGTTTTCCCACATTCCAAAAAATAAAATAAAAACGGGTTAGCTCAATAAAGCTTATTATTTGCGGATATGAGTTATCCATATAATGTAAAACAAGTCTGTCCACAATATGCTGAAATATAGTCTGATGATAGTGGATACAGCCAGAACAGTCCATTGCTTTAATTTTTGTTGCAAATATGCACTTTCTTCCTATAAATGCTGGTGAGAACCTCTTGACACTTGTGCATTAGTGTTTTGAGAATGCTCTGGTGCCTGTATATACAAAGGAAAGCCGGGTGCCGCGAGATTGCTGATGCTAGCAGGGGTTTTTAGGATGTGTCCGTATGTTGCATGATGTACTGGCTAGCTTTTGCAATGGTCTTTTGGATATGGCTAATTAGGCAGTGAAAAAGCAGCCATTTGGATACCGTTCCCTGGACACTGCATGCCAAAATGTCCACTTAAGTGAAATTCTAGCTACCCCCTGAGGGTGCAATCCAAATCCCATTTACTTTAAGGCAGTTCTCTTTGAGTCTTCAGACACTACAACCTTGTTGTAATGTCTGAACTAGCCCTGAATCTTAACTTTGGACTTACAGCTCGATCTCCCGAGCGTTTAAGCAGAAGCAATTGGATTTATGCTGACTAGGATGTAGCTTCTCACATATTGATTTGTACTTGGGTATATATGTGTGCCAGTTCAATTATGGAAGGAACATGTGTTTCGTCAAAATACACAGAAAGCCAAGTGGCAAGGATTGGGCCCCTGATGTATTTAAATGAATAAATGATGTAAACTGAATCCATGCTGCTTTCACAATTGGTGCATGTGTCTTATATACCGGCATATTTCAGTTAGAGTTCAAAAGGTTGTGTGAGAAGATGCCCTTAGATTTGCTGAAGTCAATGGGACCAAAACAGTATCACTACACTTATTTTCACTGGATTTTGGTTTAGGCAATTAATTATCACCTCTTGTAATGTAGAGTTTAAAACTTGGGTAGATAGGGATGTGGGTGGCGCTGTGGGTTAAACCACAGAGCCTAGGGCTTGCCGATCAGAAGGTCAGTGGTTCGAATCCCCATGACAGGGTGAGCTCCATTTGCTCAGTCCCTGCTCCTGCCAACCTAGCTGTTCGGAAGCACATCAAAGTGCAAGTAAATAAATAGGTACCGCTCCGGCGGGAAGGTAAATGACGTTTATGTGCATTGCTCTGGTTCGCCAGAAGCGGCTTAGTCATGCTGGCCACATGACCCGGAAGCTGTACACAGGCTCCCTCGGCCAATAAAGCGAGATGAGCGCCGCAACCCCAGATTCGTCCGCGACTGGACCTAATGGTCAGTGGTCCCTTTACCTTTTACCTTTACCGTTATTTTCACTGGATTTTGGTTTAGGCGATTAATTACTGCCTCCTGTAATGTAGAGTTTAAAACTTTGGTAGATAGGCTGTATATACATGTCATTTTATTCTAGAGTCAATTGAGGCTCAGCACTTGTTTCATCAACATAGTCCACACACAAACTAGATCTATTGCATACTTTTTGCCTCTGAAAAGTGCTCATTGAGAAACAGGTTTCATTGTGAAAATAAAAGCTCAGTGCAGATCGATCCTGTTTTTCCTCACAGGGGTCCATTTGAAAACATTTGTAGGTGGTACCAGAAATGAGAAGATGTATCCCCACCTGCCCAATAACTGGGGGTGGGTGGGATCGCAACCACCTCTTCCTCCTTCATTCACCTGGTGCAGGGAGGAAAAGGAGTGGATACCCTGTTTGCGCAGGATTTTCAAATGCATATCCAGTAACCATACCCACCCTTGTAGATGGCAGGATCTCGAACCATTCTATATTAAAAGCCACATGTTGAAGATTAGTATGAATGATTCTTGATTACATTTATACACAGCCTTTGGGTGGGGTGGGCCAGGGAGGGTTTCTCTGGAATATTCTGCTAAAAATGTGTTGTAATTTCACGTAAACAATACCTATGCTCTTCTTCAGGCTTCCCCCCTCCATCTCCACTGAGTAATTTTAGTATCAGATTCTGTTCTCTACTCTTTCAATATGCTTTCCATCAGCACCAATTTCCCAATTGCTCCAATCATTTAAAAAAGGGATTAGTCGAGTTTATAGAGAAGAGGTCTACTAAAAGCACCATTCATGCACTTTGAATAATGAAGTGTCATTTGTTTTGCTTTTGTATCTAAACCAGAGATATTCCCAGTTTAAGTACCAATGATTGATTTGATGACTCTATAACGAATCCTCAATACGACTCATTAAGGACACTGCAGGACAGAAGAGTTTGTGAGTGTCCTTAAATGCATTGCATCAGTAAGCCTGACACTCGCAATACATACAGAAGACTGTGTAACCTCATATTGATTGCTCTTAATCCAAATGATCTACCAGGTTCATTGGTGGTCATTGGTACTTTGTTTGCCAGGTACTTCTCTCTTTATACAAACACACGCACACGGCAGGATACACACGCCCCATTCAAGTATGGGTGTGACTCCGGCCACAAATGTTAAAACTTGACCTATGCTTTTCTGGCCCTCAGTTATAGGGTGACTGCTCACTTCCATTTTTATTAGCTGTGATTCTACACTTCTCCAAGTTTGATAACCCTGTCCCATGCATGTTGCTAAGCAACTACTGTACTGTGGTTTACTACTTCTGTTCGATTCATATCCTTTTACTTCCATCTCTGAACTGCAGTGAAATATTCACTGTTCTTCTGATCCTACCGTAGTCTAGAGACAGCGCTATACATATTTGTATTAGAACAATGTGAGTATGAATTACTAACACCCCTGGTATTGGGGTTTTCTTTCTGAAAGCTCATGCATATCATTTCTTATGAGACCTGCTCTTAAAATTTCATTTACGGAAGTTATTGGTTTAACAAACAATTGCCACATGAACTACAGATACAACTATTCAGTATTTCTAATACCATAGACAAACATCTAGACACCACCTGTATGGAGCACCTATATTTCACTAGGTTCACAATCCTATGCATGCCTAATCAGAAGTAAGTACCAATGAACTCAGAGAAATATATCCCCAAGTAGGGTGTGTTTGTATATCTGACTGTAGGCTTGAGCAATGCAGACTCATTATAATTTTCCTACAGTATATGGTTTTTTGGTGTGCTATTTCCAAACAAATCAAACTTGGTTTAACAGTGGCAAATAATAGTTTAACTGCAATAGAACTAAAACAAAATTTTACAAAATTTTAACAACGTTCCATGTTGATATTCAACTTTGATATTTGACATTTATATTCTGGAGGTAAACTCTTACATCAAAAATTGACATTCCACCTGTTTTGATTTGTTATATGAATGGATGAAATTAAAATTAAAATTTACTAAATGTCACTGAAACTTACCTCTCAGACACCGTCCAAAATCAACAGCTACTACATATCAGCTGTCAAATCTTGTCAAATCTTGACTGCTGCATGTTATACTGTCAAAAGGCGGACTGCTGCTGAATGCCAGCTGTCAAATGGTGTCAAATGTTGCAAACAATTCATATCTGTCAAATGCAGAGACAGAATACCAAATATTCATCAAATATTCAGAGAATATTTACACAGCCAAATACTACCTGCTACCAAATATGCAGAGGAGAATTTTTTTTTTTTAGTAATTTAGTTTCACCTCTAAAGCAAGTTCCCAAACCAAATTTAAATATTACCCTTGATTTTTTAAAGATGAAGTGCATTATATCATGCAAAATCATATTTATCACAATTTGGATGAAAACAAATGTGACTCAAGCATTTATTATGAAGAATGCTGGATGGAAGTTTCTGAAAATCTCAACCTTGAGCTTGTCCACACAGACAGGGCTTTTCCCCCCAGCCAGAACTCACCAGTACTTAGTTCTGACACCTCTCAGCTCATAGATCATAGAACTGTAAAGTTGGAAGGGACCCTAAGGATCATCTAGTCCAACCCGCTGCAATGCAGGAATGTGCAGCTGTCCCATACAGGGATCGAACCTGCAACCTTGGCATTATCAGCACCGTGCTCTATCAGAGCTATCCAGGCTCTGTGAGTGCCATTGCCGTGGTGAGTTCTGTCACCACCTTTTCTAGAAAAATAGTACTGCACACAGATATTTTCTAACTGCCATCCTAGACCTTTATCTTGATGAGAAGTGAGCTATTTTTAAAAACCAGTTCTGTTACAAAGACTGTTTCTTCTTGCATATTATACACATTATTGTACGTATAATATTATACACACATACACTCTAGGTTTCCTAAAGTAACTAGCACATAGCTACATAGTACTATGACTACAACTATATAAAAATACTTATGTGTTAATACTTATATAGTTTATGCAGCAGAAATATAGCACTGCATGGAGCTTGACTCTATGTAATTTACACATAATATAGATAAAATTTTGTATAGCATTAGTCTGGCTTTTAAAAAGAAGAAAGAAACTAACAATGCACATGTGGCTCAGACCATAAGCAGATGCTTGATGCTAGAGGTGGCGCTAGCCGGGCAAAGCTTAATCGGAACCACCAAATTCCATCTATTTGTGAATGAATCTATTTAATATGGATTCTTCCTTCAATGTTACCTGGTGGCATCATTAAAACAGCATGGTGGCTTTATGGAATCCTAGCAGCACAAAATTTTTAAAATAATTGAGATGTCAAATACAGCCCCATTACACAATTAGTGCAAATCATTGGTGATACTGCTTTCGGGCTTGTCCCTTACCTAATTGTCATGTTGTTGTTTAGTCATTTAGTTGTGTCTGACTCTTCGTGACCCCATGGACCAGAGCACGCCAGGCACGCCTATCTTCCACTGCCTCCCGCAGTTTGGTCAAACTCATGCTGGTAGCTTCGAGAATACTGTCCAACCATCTCATCTTCTGTTGTCCCCGTCTCCTTGTGCCCTCACATAATGGCATTGATGTGGCGCTAATGGGACAGGGCTACAACCAGAACATGGTATTTTAAGGGCACACAACCAATGCAGACACACTGGGACTTCCATAGAAACTGTGGATGCCAGGTGTTTGTGCCGACGTCTATGGGAAGATGTTCAGACATAAGATGTTCAGACATGATGTCCACACAAAAAGTGGAGCTGCCTGAAATGTTTCAAATGTACCCAGAGCCATTGAATTTACTGGATAGTTTGCCGCTCCAGTGCTGAAAAGATAGCAACACAAGCATAAGAGACTGTTGCTGGTTTTATTTGAATTATGAGCAAGATGGATTTTTCTTCTTCTCCCCTTCAGCTGCTTTAAAGACAAACACCAAATTCCTTTGTAATTTTCCTGGTGCTCATCTCACATGTTGCTGGTGTAAAGCACACCACATTTATTCAGTACAAACACTGGGATTCCTGGGCCATTTATTTTTGAAGGGTGGGTGGTGGGTGGGTGGGTACTCATGAGACAAATAATTAAGTTCAAAGTATTAAAAAGTTCCATTCAATTTTGTAGCATAACATTAGCACTGAAGGAGTAAGAAAAAGCTGTGAAGTGCAGAAGAGCGAACTTTTAGAAAGCTTTTGGCACATTATGATACCTCTTATTTAAAATGACTAATTTATCATGAGATGAATTGTAGAATAGCTAGGGGGTAAATTTTTCTTTTAAAAATGAAGATCTTGCCATTAAAAATAACCCTATCCTATTCTTCTCCCTGATTGATAATAGAAGCAATTACATGCCCATGTAAGGCAAGATGTGAATAGTCCATTCCTTTATTAAATGGTGCTAAGATCACTTTAAAATATTAATGTTAGCATTACAAAAATGTATATCCCTGCACCTAAAGCTTACACTCGACCCTTGGCAACAGAATCAGTGCCAGAAAAAAATTGATCTTGTTATCCCCAAATGAAGTCATTTTTAGACGTACTGTGTCTTATCGGAAGGAGAGTGGGCAAAATAAATCAGCTAAGGGTAAAAGTAGAATTTGCAATAACCTAGTACTACTGCTTCATCCTCCCACATCTCAGCACATAAAACTTACTGTCAAAAGAACTCACATCATGAGAATTAATCAAGGAACTCTTAAAATACTCCAAGCACCTACCTTCTGATGACTAATTTGCCTTTCCTATTGCGAACTACTAATTTTTTATCTCAATCGATATGTACAAATATACCTCACTATCAATCACCAGGGGCAAGGACAAACTTCCACTATTTATGTAATACTGACTACAAGATGAAACAAGAATTGACTACAGTTAACTTGGGGCTGGCTTTAACAACCATCTAGAGGGAAAGGCTGGAACAGGAGGAGAGGACGAGGGGAAAGGAAGGTGATGCACACAGCCTGAAATGGCTCCAGGGAGAGCTTAAAGGCCGCGCTGGAAGTGTCAGAGGATGCTGAGGAGCATCAAAAGGCCAAACTGGATTCTAAGATCCATCACCAAGTACAGACAAATATCTGCAGGGATGAGAGGAATCAAATAAGGATGAGCAGAGCATAAAGTAATTTAAGGCTGACAGAGAAGAGAACAGGAGAACTGCTTTGTTGGGTGCCAAGGGGTTCATTTAGTCAAATATGCTGTTCCCAACAGTGGTCAACCTGATCCTTCTGGAAACAGGGACATCCCATTCCATAGTGATAATTTTACTATTTATACCCTACACATCTTACTGGGTTGGCCCAAGCACTTTGGGCAGCTTCCAACATATATAAAAACATAATAAAACATTAAACATTTTTAATAAAAAAGCTTCCCTGTACAGGATTGCCTTCAGACGGCTCGAGGGTCAGATAATTCCATACCCTCCAACATTTCTCCAATGAAAATAGGGGCATCCTAAGGAAAAGGGACATTCTGGGATCAAATCAGAAACTGGAATGGCTTCTCTAAATCATGGTCATCCCTGGAAAATAGGGACACCTGGAGGGTCTGTAAGCATAGTTTTAATGTAATTGACTCTGCCTATTGCTCTAGCACATAATATTAGGAGCTAGGCTGCTTCTAAATATCTGGCGATCATGATCCATGGATGTACATAATATTCCTGACTGGCCAGGGAAGAGGACAATGCATTCTGCCAACAACAACATATGCCCTTTGTCATAGTCTTCCTGACTTGTAAAATGGTGTAGAATAAGGCATCTAGAAGGGGAAGTTACTTTTTAAAATCTGATTTAGGCAACTGACCAGGGACATTGTTCATCACTGGCTAAATGGGAGAGATGACAGTGTGGCAATTGTAAAAAACATCCCCAGCACTGGCAAGTAGGTATAGTAACAGGCATTAGAAATAGGTACAAGTTCAAAGGGGCAACTGAAAGTTCCTGGGATGACATGGTGTTTTTGTCCTCTTCCTACTCCGCCCCAAAGTCCTATGTATAACTATGGTGAAGAATGCAGCTTATATATTAACTACCACTACTTATCTTGGGGTTTTCAAAGTTGAGTGCAAGCTGTATACTTGTCCATAGAGTAATCTGAACTATTTATCTATAGTCTTCAGTGCACTTTACAAATTCTGCTCAAAATTGTCCCTTACTTAGATTTTATTATTTTAATATATTTTACTCAAGCCCAGACCCAAGCGTTATAATTAGGGATGCATTCAGCACCCAGAATGGTAGAAAACCACTCATAATGGTAAACTCAATTCCCAAGCAGAGCCCACAAACCCAATGAAATCTGGGAGCAGTGTGCAGACAACATCCTTAAGGATTCCAAATTTTCTTGGAGTTGCAGTTCCCTGAGTTCTGGAAAGTACAGTTCCTCTGCATCTCAGTGGTATGACTGCTCAGAAATATCAAGGCTTTGCAGATTAGCATATCACTTCTTTGTCACTACTAATTATAGCACTATGTTATAGGTTTAATCCAACTGTTTGTGCAATGGACTTGCACTTATGTAAATAGGAGTTCCCCTTCTTCTCTCAGTTTCACATGAACCCCCAAAATCTGCTCCAGAAAGGGGGCATGCTCCATGCTCCATGTCAGCGTGGAGGAAAAGAAAGGAGACCCCCCACTGTGCTTGCTGGTATGATGTTGTTTCTCATCCTATATATTTACTTCCATTTTGTATACTTTGTATAGGCCAAGATCCAAAGATGCACTTTAGCTGCTCCTTAGAGGTCCAATGAGATCTTAAAGCTGCACAGCTATTTACATCCCAACCACTGCTATAATGGGTTGCTATGTTAATCTATATCTATAAAATAGTAATTTGTAATATACAAAATAATAATAAACAGCAACTCTTTGGCATTGTCCTTTTTTTTTGGTGGCTAGGTTAGAAGTGTCCTTATATTTAGACATCATATACATTTGGCAGTGAAGAGCGCCTTAAGTGATCTACATTGTTCATTGCTTAATTATGTTATTTTACTGTTCCTGAAAACCTGACACAAAGCAAATTTACATTACTCTGCTCCTAATTAGCCAATAATCCTTAAGGATTTGAATGATACATACTCAAAGTAATTTCCTTCTTCAGTAAAGATGAGTTTCCTTACGTTGGTTTAAGGTGATGGCATGGCACCCTGACAAAAAATGTATCTTGGTGGTGACAGCACTCTGTGTGTTTGTCCTCAGAGTCAAACTCTCTTACAAAACTTAATTATATCTTCTTAGTGGACAGCAAGAAATCAATAAACAATGTGTGTAATTTCTGAAGACAAGTTGGTTTCTTTCCTCTTGAAGGAGTCTATAGTGAGTCTGTTAATATATTGTCTATGACTATTGTCCTGGCCCCCATTGCTGTACACAGAACTCGGACTCCCAGCAATGTTCCTACCAAAGGCTTTAATGCATCAGTTGGATCAGTACACAGGTAAGGCACAGGTTACAAGGGGCAGCAGGTACGTAAGAGATATAGATACATGGCTAAGCACAAGCTTGATCCAAAAAGTGACACACCCTTTGCACCTTCCTCTTGAAAAGTGGGGTTGGCAGCTAGAGTCCTGGGATTAGGCTCTCAAATGGGCACTCCATCAAATGGGTTAAAGTTCACAAGGAGATCTATGCTATGAACTCCCTTCTTGAGAGAGTTATTATTTAATAGGGTTAGGCAGATTGATTTAAA